AGTGATTCATGCATTTAACTGAGAATGGAGCAGGAAACAGACTCAAGCTGTATGTGATGGTTGGTCTCTTGTAGGTAATCTCACAGTAATGTGTCTTGAAATGTAGCATAACTGGGAGAGCGCGTGTAATTTGATCCATTCAGCTATCAGATGATCGTTTTTCACATTTTCAGTATGTCGGTTATCAACATGCAGTGATACAGATCATATAAAGTCTGTGTGTTTATGTGTGGTCTCGTCCAATCAATTCTGTATCATACATTAGGTAGTGAATCATAATGTTAACTCTATATTTGTTATATTTTGCATTTTTCCTAAGCTAATGCCTGCTTAGGATGAATCGCTTTGTTGTATTGCTAAATGAAATAATAAAATATGCTAAATAAATAATTGTTTAAAAGTTTGGGGTCATCAAGATTTATTAATATTTTTTTTATTAACACTTATTAACATCTTACTTACAAAAGATTTCAATTCCATTATTAAATTAAATTCCATTATTACATTTCTATTCATCAAAAAAATCCTGAAAAAATATTTTCACAAATTTAGTAGCACAACCGTTTTCAACATAATAAATAAATAAATAAAATCACAGTTTTTATTGTATTTTTTGAATCCAAACTTTTGAATGGTACAATAAGCTAAATTTTGTTAATTTAAACTCCTGTGTCACACCCAGAATTGACAGCCCGCATAGTTTCCACAGTATTTCACCGGTAATTTTTGTAATCTTTGAAAAAATCTTTGTAATTATTTGTGAAATTTACTAGCAATTTAATTTAATTTCCTTAAATCATTTAACATTGTGCCATATTGATACATCATGGTAAATTCAAATAATACCATGGCACATGGTAAAATACTTTTTGGTACTTTTTTGTTAGTAATACATATAAATAATTAGTGCATCGCTCAAGTGTGACTCTCTAATCCAGTGGTTCTCAATGTTTTGGATTCCAAGGCCACCAATTTTCCACAATCAATAGAACTCAAGACTCTTTGTGATTTACTGGACAAGGATTTGTAAAAAAAAAAAAATATATATATAAATTTAAAAAATTTTTTTTTACCCACATATAATAATTAAAAAAATTATAAAATAAAACTATTTTAGAGCTTGGCACAACAAAAAAAAAAAAGTGTATTCATAAAATGTATAAACATGCCCATGAAGTTATAAGTTTTGATTTAATTTATGACTTTTCCAGGTCTAGAAATCATTCTTTTAAAATTCTTCAAATTTTTTTTATTGTTTTAGCTTATTTTTATGCTTGATTTGTCTTCTTTTAAATAGTTTCAAGTCATCTTGCCATTTACAAGTTTGCTGAGGCGTTCTTATGGGCCCCGGCCCCTTGGTTGAGAACAACTGCTCTAAACAGACTATAATAAACTTTCTCAAGCACTCCTGGAATTATGAAAAAATGTCTCTGTCAGCAGCTGTGGATTTGTGGTTATGCTCGGGGGAATACATAAAGAAACAAACAAAATTAATTACAAGAGGCGGCGAGTAAATAAGCTGCCACACCTTTAGTTCAATTACGAGTCGTTTGTTGGTTCTGAAGTGTCGTTAGTCATGACAGACAGCTCAGGCAGATGAGCCTCTTAAAGTAACAGTAGCTGCGTTATTTATTGTTCGTTGTGTAGAGTTTGTCACAAAAAGACGTGTGAGTCGACACGAGGGTCCCTCTCCATCTCGCTAATTAGATGCCGATCTGTCTTGCACACAAAAACAGACTCACAAACATACTGTAAATCAGCCACACAAACTCAAATCACATGCTTCATACCTGTCAAGGTTAAAAACAAACACGTTTCCAGATAAACACGCAGCATTCAGAGTCATTAACTACACACACACAAATGATTTGCCTTATTAGACATCCATGTCATAACCAAGGAAAGACGAAAGGCGTTAGATAAAACCTTCTCTTTCCTTCTCATGTCTTTCTGCGGCTTTTGCTTTTATATTTATCTGAATAGCATCTATGAGCTGGACCATGGGCACAACAACATGGGGACTTTGATGACAGATGACAGAGAAAGTGTCGGTCCCTCAAGACTCTAACGTGTTCTGATGAGTTTCCTTCAGGCAATAATTAAAGAAAGCCGAGGTAAACACATTCCCTCCAGTGCTGGAGACTAACTAACTAAAAGTAGCAATGCTGCTAACTTAAAAGAGAAGTTCTGTCATTATTTGCTCACTCTCATGTCATTCCAAACCTGTTTGTTGCTATTTTTTTCCCGTGGAAAACAGAAGTCGAATACATTTTTGAAGAATGCAACAAGCACAACAACTAACACAGCAATGTTGTGAAAGCATTTTTCCACATACACTACTTTTTAAAAGCTCACCAAGGCTACATTTATTTGATCCAAAATACAGTAAAAATAGTAGCATTGTGAAATAATATTAGAATTTAAAATAACTTGTTTTCTATTTGAATATATTTTAAAATCTAATTTATTCTTGTGATGCAAAGCTGAATTTTCCACATCATTACTCCAGTTCCACATGATCTAATATGCTGATTTGCTGCTCAAGAAACATTTCTTATTATTATCAATGTTGAAAACAGTTTGTTTAAAATATTTGTGGAAATTGTGATGCATTTTTTTTCAGGAGTATTAGATGAATAGAAAGTTCAAAAAACAGCATTTAAGACAGAGATATATGTCCTAAATGTCTTTAATGTCACTTAAAAAAAAAAAAATGTAATGCATCTTTGCTGAATAAAATATTACAAAAAAACTTTACTGAAAGCAAACATAAACAGTAGTTTGTCTTGATATGTATAAATAACATCTATATCCTTCATTATTTCTTCAAAAATGCCATTCTGAACTCAAAATATGCTACTGGTTACATGAACCTAAATAACAGCTCTATTGCTAATATAGCTGTAGGAAGGTATACTCTTAAGTGTTATTCAATCATGACAACTCTCGGAAGATTTTAGCACGGTGATGGATATGACAATGTTAATGTATTTGGTCTTGGCGGAATAGATCTGCTACGCTGCTGCTGCTGCTGCTGCTGAATTGCTGCTGCTGTTGGTTATTGCTGTAGTTGTAGATTATTGCTGCTGCTGCAAGCAAGTACAGGAATTTGCTACTGCTAATGCATACAGCGATACGGTGCCGTGAGTATTTAAGACATACTGCTGCTGCACAAATAGCATATAAAATAACCCTTAGCAGATCTATACAGGTGGAGCTGGGGAAGGTGGAGGGTTTCAGAGAAACTCTGAAAGCGTGCTGCAGGAATCTCTAGTGAATGCTAGCCAGCCATATAAATGCAAGGCAGTAAGCTCATTGGCTGCATATGCATCATGAACCAATCAGCTTGTGTCAAGTCGTTTAACTCTTTGAATATCATCAGTTACGTTAACAACCCATCAGCCTGCGCCATCTAGAGTTTCATGACTGAACTATATATTTATGACATTATTTGACATTAGTTATTTTTAAAGTTAGGACTTTGTCACGATGTAGTCACAATGAAGTCACAATTATGATATGTATTTTCACAATATTTCTAAACTTTTTTAGCTATGGTCTCTAAATTGGTGTATGATTTACTCTGAAACACTTTTCACTTAGAAATCGCTAGTAAATTTCACAAATATTTACAAAGAAATGGCTAGTAACACATTGAATTAAACATGAGACTGAAATACTTTGTATGTCTCCACATACAGTTCAACAAGTAATGATTCACTGATCCGAAAAGTCTCTTTTTCGGTTAAACGCTGCTTTTTTCAACTTTTTTATAACAATCATTTGTTGTATTTAGTGTAAATGCAACCTCTGTCCAGAATTGTTAAATGCTGTCATAATAGATTCCTAGATTCCTATAATCTAAAAGTTTATATTGTACACAGTGGAAAAAATGGTGTAGGATTTATTTTGAAACACTTGTTAGTAAATTTCACAAATTATTACAAAGAAATGGCAAGTAACACATTTAATTGTAGTATTTTCTTGTGAAGCATACTTATTTTCAGCTTTGAAAAATAATTTTTAAATCGTAGTGCAGCTAACTGCTTTTTAGATTAAAAAGTTCAGGTTTTTTTCTTCTGTAAACTAAAACACGCATCAGAGGGACTCGTCAAAGTCAAAGTCAAAGTCAAAGCAGAACTCGGCAGTCTGCATCCAACTGCTAGCGTTCGCCCACAGGGTTAGTGTTAATACAATCTGCATAATGCTAAAGCGTTTCGATTGATACTCACAAAGCTTTCCGGCCACAGAAGTCCCACGGAATTCACTCAAGCGCAAAAGTTGAAACAAAAAACGCCAATGTGAGATGACAGTAGCTGTAGCTGGAGATGCCAGGATTTTGAGCCCGGATTGCTCCCTGAAGTGGGCTTCAAGCAAAGTAGAGAAAAGCTGGCAAGCCCTTCTGCTGGGAGACTCGACTGATAGAAACCAAGAGAAATTACCCTGAAAACAACTCTGCGCACCTCCGGCGAGTCGCTATACTAACCTACACCACGGCAAACACCTCATATTAGCCATTAACGAGACCTCAAGTGAACAATACCTTCCAAATGTGTACGTTTTGCGGGTCTCAAACAAAGGTCACGTCAATCATCGCCTTATAAGAGCGTGGGCTGCAAAAGCCACATGACAAGTAGCTAGTAAACTGTCGTTATGCATGAAATCTAAGTGAAACAGAAGCTAATCTGATTAAACAGCATGAAGAGTGAAACAACAGTTCATGCTTTTCTCGTTCCTTGAACTAATTCTCCAGAATGGCATTCATCTTGACTCAAATAGCAAGCTGACGCCTTTTATTTCTTGCCCACAACAGACTTAACAGAGCCACGGGCTTGGGATTAATTCGGCCCATTGCTCAGAGTTTCTCATTTGCATAATGAAAGAGAAAATTAGCAAGGAGAAGAAGAGCGGGACCAAATGAAGCAATCTGGCAGTGTGAGTGAAATGGAAACGCGAGTGATTTGGATGTGGATTTCGCCCCCGTCATTCGCAGCTTCTACCTTCACAACAGGTGCCGTGGCGGATGCAGAGGCTCCTGAGCGCTTGGCGGCGAGGTCGTTGCTGGCCGACGTCACGGCGATGGTCACAGGGGTGGGAAGGAGGGACGGGATGACCGGGAGCGGGAGGAGTCCCGGACGGTTGTTGCCGTTGGCCACGGGCGGTGCTGAGGAGCAGGTGCTGTTGCCAACGCCATTGTGAAGGCCTCCGGCTCGCTCGCGACGGTCCCAGGGGCCTCGATAGTCTCTCTCAAAGCGGTGATGGTGTCGTGACATCACTTCCTCTTAGAGGATACGTAGCGCTGTCTGCAAGAGAGCACACAAAGAGAGCGATAGCATTGATTATACCCTGTCAAAACGCAGATAGAAATAGAATGCACCAAACAAATCGAGCTTCTTGGCAGGTCTGATGTGCAACACAACAAAACTCACTGCAGACATCTCAATATCTGCCAGACAGTAAAAAGTATTCATTTTAGACTGGCATCGCTTCAGCTGGGTGTAAAAATAACATTTAAGCTTTTAATACCGACAAACATGCTTGCGTATGATTGAGCACGGCTTCTTTTGGAGACTTCCCATGAGTGCAAGATGCGTCATCTTTGGTCATTTTTTAGACTGACCAAAGAAGTGCTTTCATTTTTAAATGCTTCTAAAAATAAATACAATTAATTAATTAATTAATTAATTACATTTACTTAAAATAAAAAACACATTCAAATTAAATAAATAATCTTTAACAAAATAAAAAACAAACAAATACATTAAATTAAATTAAATAAATATAACTACATTAAATAATAATAAAAAAAAAATTTAATCAGAATTATATAAAATAAAAATAATATATATATATATATATATGTGTGTGTGTCTATTTGTATATGTGTGTATGTGTGTATATATATATATTAGAATTTCATAAAAAAGAAACAAATATGTAAAAATGTACAAATATGTAAAAATGTAATGAATAAAACTACATAATAAAACGTTTTATTAAATGTATGAAAGCAGTTAGAATTAAACAAAAAAAAACAAATAAATACTTACATAAATGAACAAACTAATAATCTAAATAAATGAATTTGAATTAAATTAAATAAAACAGGCAAATAAAAAAAATAATATAAAATACATCATTTAAAACAGAAAACAAATAAAAAAAATTTTTTTAAATGAATTAAAATAAATTGATAAATAATGACACATTAAATAATAATTTAAAAAAATAATATTTAACTACATATATAATCAAAATTCAAAATACTTCCAGACATGGATTTTGATGTTAAAATATGAAAACAAAACAAATATAAATTTTTTATTGTTACAAACTATGCTATTTTAAAGAGTAATCTAATCCTAAACCATTTCAATATTTGTTCAATACTTCAAACTATTTTGTACGCAAATTATGACTATCACTCAGTTGGAGCATCATTTTCATTTTAAAAAGTATTTCCTGGTTTAAAAATAACACATGTGAGCCTTTCATAAATCAATGCATTTGCTTACAGAATTTTTGAGAAATGCACATGGCTTCTTTGTGATTTCACAAACATGATAAATAACCCATCTACTTATTATAATCCAGCCTCTGTCAGCTTTTATAAGAGGAAAAATTAGAAGATGAGTGTTTATTTACAAGACCCACAAGAAAAAAGTTTACAGGAAAACTTGCACTCTTCCAGATGGCTAAGAGATCTGTCCAACTATCCCGAGTTTGCCTAATGACCAAAATTGTACGGCTCCAAGGCCTCATGATTTTAACTCATCTAATCAGCAGTTTTACTGAGCTTTACTGCTGATAGCTGTGCAGGACACGCTACGAGAAAACAATAAAGCAGCAGCGGTTTGGCTTTAGCACTGCGTTAGCGCCTGCGCTAACCTCATTTTCCGTTATTTGCAGTGGCTTCTTTATCTTGTCATCGTTCTCCACTGACATCCAGATGTATTAACTCTGGAGACCTGAGGTTGGGAGCAGCATTATTAGTTTCTCTCTTTGTATGTGTGGGAACAGATTAAGCTGTTAGTAAAATAAGCCACGTTTGGCCGTTCTGCTGTTCTGCAACAAATTCAGGATTTATTGCGCTTTGGCTAGCTGTTTTATATTGGAGTCAGCTAAACAAGACAGCAGTGTGGAATGAGCTTTACTAGAACTGATGTTCAGTATTGTGGCTTTCAACCAAAAAGAGTAAACAGTATGTGCTAGAAATAATCATGACATACATAGGCTTCTCTTAATATAAGCTCATTCATATCGAAAGGAGTCATAAGGAAATTAATAATATTGAGGCAGAAAGAATGAATAAACTTTGCTTAAAAAGAATTATAAACAAAACAAATCTCATAAAATATTCACTAGTCACTAATTTGCTTTAGCTGTCAATGCCACTCTATTCTTCATGTTAGGCCATGTCTGCATATTTCCCATAATTCAACAGCTGTAAGGCACTGCAGATAAAGCATTATGACAGAATAACTCAGTCTAGTCTGGTGACAGAGAGAAGCCCTGCGTGACTGCATTTCAACAACAAATGAGATCTTCAATCCATCCCTTGTAATCACGCTAAACTAAATCACACACATAGACGCACACACACACACACGCAGAGTACAGTACCCGCTAATGACACCATAATTGCATTGCACGTTAAAAGCACCGCATTAATTATTCATGGCTTGTAACAGATTGACACATTTATATACTGTAGACGCCTCTGACGCTGTAGATTCACAATAGACAAACATGGATCTTATATATTCTCTACATGCAATGCACTGAAAAACAGAACAGAAAAACGACTGTTAGCTTTAGCTTTGAATCACTGCAAATGTTGGGAGCTGAGATGTCATTTCTGAGGTGAAGTGCATTGCTGATGGAGACATTTAACAAAGGTATCTTAGCCAATTTAGCCATTTTAAATGTTTTCCTGGATCTCTTTTATTCATGAAATGTAAATCTGCTGGGCTACAGCAGGTCTATAGGAAGTAAATATTTAAACACATGTAAACACATGTAGATGAGGGCAAATTAATCCCAGTTAAAGGAACACTCGACTATTTTCCAACTCCCCTAGAGTTAAACAGTTGACTTTTACCGTTTTCGAATCCATTCAGCCTGAATATTCGTTTATTAAAATGACGTTTAATGAGAAAGACGTTTTTTTAAATAAAACATTATTTGTGTTACCATTTCCGAACAGTCTTATCACAACAAGCTTATAAATTATATCCTGGTTTTTTTTCATTAAAAAAAAAAATTTACATAAAAAAAGAATTTAAGGCAGAGCGCAGCGCGAATTAAAAAAAAAAATGGCTGTAAGGCACGTACAGTACATACTGTATACACTCGAGTCAGCATCGTGTTTGCATTGTTTCACATGTTCTTGTTGAAAAAAAAACAACAAAATAAACCAACAATGTACATGATCGGATGAAAGTTGGCTCCTTATGCCGTGTGTAAACCAATGCGTTTTTAGCCAGCTGAAAAGGCACGCGCTCTTCTGAAAATGCCTTGCTGTGAACACTTACGAGCGCTACGGAGGCGCTTTGGTTGCTGTGATACAGAATAGCCGCTGAAGTAATGTGGCAGATGCATCACAAATGAAATGTTACATGCATTATTTTTAAAATAATGCATGCAACATTTCATATATCAATATTAACATCTCCATTGTTGTTCGGTCGAAGTACAATCTGACAGTTGGACAGTGCGTTATTTGCCTCGCCCCTCCACCACTGTGATTGGACGGCTGACTGAAAACTGACAGTGATGAGCGGTGCGCTTTGCCCAAAGTTAAACATTTATCAGTGCTTTGTTGTGCTGTTGGCATCTTAAAAAACGCGGCATTCCCATTGAAAACTATTTTGAAGGCCAATTATTCATCAAAACTTTTAATTTAAAAGAACAGTACTAAAAGAATTGTTAATTGAACTGGGAGGAACCTGGAATCATTATAGGAATCGGAACTGTAACTGGAAAAAAACAAAAAAAACAATTCTCATACTAAATACAGTAAGAGCAAGACTGAGAATGAGAAAGTGAGACAGATAACGAGAGTCAGACAGAGTGACGGAGATAATATAAGAGTGAGACAGGCACTGAGAGACTGAAAGCGGCATGAGAGAGTAAGACAGTTAATCAGGCAGTAAGAGAGTGAGACAGACAGACAGACAGACGGGCCGAACCTCAACACTTGACACTCCGGCTCTGTCAGTGCTGCTCCTGTCATCTGATGTCTCTCTCTTTCTCTTTCTCAGATGCTGGATGATTGTGAAAGGGAAGCACAGGGCACTATAGTTTTTTAGGAAAAGAAACCCTTGAAACCGCTCCCTTCAAAGCACCGAATCCTGATATGATATGAGCCGATGGTGTTCTTCAACAGACTCATGCTACTGAAGCACTTGGTGAGTCCTGTGCTTTGTGTTCCCCGCAAGCCAAAACCCCAAACAATAGGTACACATTAAAAAATCCAGCAAAAGATTTACTGATACACACTGACACACACACACACACGCAAAAGCTTGTGATTCACTACTGCCAGCTACGCCAGGACAACACAAGGCACCGTGAGTGAATCTGAAATAATCGCAGAGCCTGTCGGTACAGAAACAGCCAGGGGGCGGCTGATGAAGACTATCTTTAATTCCTCGTCTCACGCTGAGGTAAGCCGTACTCTTTGGAGAGAGAGAAAGAAAGCAAAAGAGAGAAAAATCCACCTGTAAAATAGAGGTGCAGGCAATTCTGATCATACACACTGCACCTCTGACAGCCCCGCGATTCACTCCGTGCGGCTATTTTTAGAAGAACTTCGAAAGGCCACAGAGCAGGAGCAACTTAATTGAAGCGTGAGAGGAAAAATAAACTATGCGGTACAATACAAAAAGAGAAAAAGAACGAGAGGGAGGGAGGAAGGGGCAAACACAGCAATATAAAGCCCAACATCACCTGCCTGCCTTTATTTATGAACACTACGGCTGTCAAATTAATGCATTAATTAGCGTATGTGGGATTCATTAATGCAATGTATCATGCTCTCTCGATTCAGGTAAATTCCATAATTTCGAGTTTTCAGAATATTAAAAGCAATTTCAATGTTGAAGTAAATTACTCAACTTTATTCAAATGATCTGTTGCAAATGCTGGACGGCAGCCAAGTTTTAGGCTTCAAAATGTGAGTTTCTGATGATTTAGTGCTTTTATGACATTTTTTCATATTATATTTAAATTAGATTTTATTTTTAAGTTAAGACATTTTTGTGTTTAGACTGTGACTGAACCAGCAAGTTATTTATATATA